TAGGAGAGATAAAATATAAAAAAAAACTAAGCGTAATATTTATTAGAGCGATAGGAAATATTTTTAACAATTATAGATTTGACAAATGCTTTTATTTCACGCAATTTAAATTTTAATCTCTCAAAAGTAGTTTCAATCATCGACTCCCAACATGTGCACAGTTGTTACTTTTCTATAAGGTTTATCAAATTTAATATTCATCTGGCCAGAGAGGATTTTAACAACGTCACCATTTAATTTAAAAGGCAATGCGTTTTATGGGCTTTACTTCAAAAAGTCCCTTGACAGGTAAATATAAATTGCCGACATCAAGAAAAAACTTAAGCCTGCTGTTTAAGAGTAATTTTACGAGTGACGAGATACTCAGTTCCTTCTTAAGTTTCATAAAATTTAAGTTGCGGAGAGTATATAAGTATTGGTTAACTTTACACACACACACACACACACACACACACACACACACAGAGAGAGAGAGAGAGAGAGAGAGAGAGAGAGAGAGACAGACAGACAGACACACACACACACACAGCACATATACATATATTTTCAATCTTGATCTCTGACGAAGCCTTAATAAAGGGCAAGATGTCAGATTGAGATCTGTTCTTTATCCTATCACACACACACACAGACATACATTCTTATATATATATATATATATATATATATATATATATATATATATATATATATATATATATATATATATATATTATATATTATGTATATGTTATCTATATATAAAACAGAGGATGTCTGTTTGGCTGTGTGTGTGATAGAATTTCACTCGAGATTCATTCAACCTATTTTGACCCAACTTTATACAATATAAGAAATATGTTCTTAGTGTAAAAAATCGATAATTTAAAAAAAAATCAATAATTGATAAAGTCGATCAAAAATCTATCAATTCAACTTTTTTCTCCGATTTCTTTCAAACTCAGTATGTAGGTTACTTACAACATGACGAGCCCAACGATACCTCATATTATTTACACGCTACAACGTTTAGCGAAAAACGAAAAATCGATTTCAACACAAATTTTTAACTAAAAACTCCCACAATTTTCAAGCAATCTAATACAAACTTCACTCAATAGTAGCCAACAATAGGTTGATTGTTTAACAATCATTTAACTTGATAATTGAATTCATTCATGTAGTGAAAATCCGCGTAAATAGAGAAATTGGCGATTTTTACTGGTTTCTTTCTAATTTTTCTGTGATCTTTCAACCAATTTTCATCAAACTTAACAATTCCTTTATAAATATATCCTCATTACACCCCTGGTAGTAGCACACTGAAAAATTGAATTTCAAAAACTCCAAAATAATTGTGAACTTAAGTGGGTCTTCATGTTGTCTGTTTTACTCCTTCATGGCTTCAGCTAACTTCGATTGATTAAATACAGACTAATTCTGTTATATCAGTAACTTCATTAATTCGAAATGTTTTTTAATGAAAGTACTTTATGGTAATTGACTCTGTTACATCTAAACATGATGCTGTTTTTGTTCTATTCTAATTGAACGCTTTTTCTGATCATCCAGCTGGGAAAAGGCTGCCATACTCGATAAAAATCACTCTCCCAAGTAGTTAACTTACATACTTTGATTTGCTTGTTAATATCAACTCCTTATAGGCCATTTAATGCAGAAATTTTTAATTTTCTTGGGCACTTTGAAGTAATAAAAAATATTATATATACATGGTAGAATCTACCAGGTATATATCACATCTACCACTTAGATGGTACTTAACTTTTGTGCATATACATGTTTGTGTGGACATAATTACTAGAGGTAGAGATATTTGTGTTTTATATTGTTTTATTGAAGTTGTATTTTGGAATACAGGTTGATTTAAGAAATAGTAGGATGTTATATAGACTAATTTCATGAAAGAGTTCTTTCAAGTTGGTTCGTTGGTTGATTATGTTTAGCGACATATCAACTTTTATGGGTTATTCAATATCGAAATCTCAATATTTTGAGTTGTGTGCTTTCAACTACAGATAAAATATATTGTTAATAATCTTTATAAAACAGATGTCTGTGTGTGTCTGTGTGTGTGCCTGTGTGTGTATGCTATTTATGCACGTCCACATTTCTCGGCCGATTTCGATGCAATTGTACACACTTACTGCAAATTTATGAAAAGTTACCAAGACCAACTTTTCAATCTCTAGCCTCCCCTGCCCCTGTATAAAATCAAAATTTGGTATAAAAATCAATAAAACTGGATGAGCTGATGTTCTTTTGCATTTAATGCAAAACCATAACTCATTTTGCAAAACGACAAAAAAAAAGGAAAAAGTTTTTCGTACTACTTAACAAAATTTTTACTGGATGAGCTGATGTTCTTTGCATTTAATGCAAACCATAACTCATGTTAAAAGGCCGTTTTTGATAGTTTTTTTTCTGAGGCATCGGTTTATAGACAAAAAAATTACGAAAAAAAAAAATGCAAAGATTGTTTTGACTGAAAGGATTATTGAAACTTTAAAGGGAAGCATTCCGAAGAACTTTTTATTAATCCCAGTTTTACAGCAATTCTAAATTGGCACTGAACAAATGCAAAAGAAACTTTAAAAGGGAAGGAAGAACTTTTTATTAATCCCAGGCAAACGTTCGTTTGCGTTTGCAGTTGAATCAAGCTCAGACGCTTCATCCCTGTTTTATTATGAACAATCAAACACTTGGGAAGGACTGTAAAAATGATGAGAGGGAGTAGTTTAATATAACACCGGATGATGCAAGTAAGCGGGGATGCAGGCAGACATTTATAGATTGGGAGTGCGGTTATACAAGGGGTGCGGTTATACAATTGCAGCCGGGGTACCTCTGCTAGTATATATATATATATATATATATATATATATATATATATATATATATATATATATATATATATTAGTGAATATACATAATATCTCAGGTCGATAGCCCGACTCGAAGTTTCATGTAATCTTCGGGTGCAAAATACTTACTGACCGTTAAATTATTACGAAATTTGTGTTGTTGTGGTGTTGATTTAATATTGTGTGTTAAGATTTGTTTATTTTATTATTGTTGCGCATAATATTATAGTTAATCATTTATATTTTATATCGTTCGAATTCTTAATTTCGAAAGATGAAAACTTAAAAAAATATATATTTTAAATAATTTGAGAAACTACATTTTTATTACTTCAAACGTTATTATTTAATAGCTACTTTTATTTGAAATTGACGCCCTATTTTATTTTTTTACTTTCGGTATGCGTATACGGTAAATCTTAATAAAGGAAATGCGCTATCCGGCAAGAATCGAACCTGCGCCTATTTCAGTTCTAACTCCCCACTGTAATAAACGTTGAAGTAATAAATGTGTCGGGTTATAGTTCATAATAAATCCATTAACACTTAAGAAATTGCTTTGTTTTTCTCTCGGAATCGAAACTGAATAAGATATGGGTTCTCGAGAAAAATATCTCGTGTGAATTCCTTAAAAGGGAAAATTGAGTCTTGCTGAACAATGCCGCTCTTTGTAACCGAGTAGTAAAGCACGCCTGATTAAATGGTGCTTTCTCCTATAAAGTAATGTTTATGTGTGTTTACATACCACAGTATCTGTCTATATTTCTGAGATGAGGTATTATGTACACTATTTAAATTATTTGGACTATTGTCCTCGTCTTTGTCGCCATATTTATTACAACGTTTCGGCCTTTGTACACTCCGGCCTTTTTCCCGTGGTTGGAATGTTGAACTGAACCCTCAAGGATACATGGACACATGGCACAGTGGATAAAGGTGTTAGATCCAGTGACAAGACCCAAAGAGTGTGAGTTCAATACCTGGTTAAGGCGGTGGAGAACTTGGAGAGGGAATTAAGCAGGAGATAACTGATAACTGACATCCATTAGACATGGCACGTGGAACAAGAACAGCCTACTCCAGTGAGCGAAATAAAGGGTTCAGATCGACATTCCAACCACCTGAAGAAGGCCGGAGCGTACAACGGCAGAAACGTTGTAATAAATATGGCGACAAAGACGAGAAGGATAGTCCGAATAATGTAAAATAGTGTACCTACCACGCTTTAATATAGTTTGTTCCTGTTGGTATTTTGCTGAAAATAACTGATACTGCTTCTGTCCCCCGCGTAACCATGTCCTCCGTCTGTAATTTTTTTCTCATTAAATTTTTCTCGGTTCGTTTTGAAATTTTCTTTTTGTCATTTCTGTAATAAGTAGTATTATCATAAACAGGTTTTACTCTACATAGTTATTATTAGTAGTATTATTATTAATTAAATATATTAGTACTATCAATATTAAAAAAATTAAAAAGCAAAAATCCACATGTTAGAAATTCAGCCTGGAACAAGTTCCTCATTTTGATGCACCTAACTCGGATTGAAGTAACTCTAATTAATTTTGTGGACGAGCTTACAAAGCTAAATTAATATTTTATGCTAATCATCTAAGTATAGAGAAATAGACTTTCTTTCTGCCAAGAAAATCAGCATTTGAAATCCTCTCTTTTATCTAGCCTTGAATATCAGTTGGTGATTTAAAACCCCAAGATTTTATTTATGCATTATCTACGTGTTGTTGTGATTTTTATAGGCAGTTAGGTGACGATATCTTTTTGTATTGTTGTAAGGATGTATCTGTCAATAGTGTAAGCCGTTAAGTGTTCCTTATCCTATTGTACTGTCGGATTCCGATCCATATTTGTTCCCAATTCAATTATTATTTGCTTTCACAAATTTATAATTACTATTAACTCTGTGGTTAAGAACTTTAAATCCTCCAAAGAAAATTGCACAAGCAATAGAATCAGCCTTGAAAAAATGGCATTTCTGCCTGACTTTGTTTGATTTAATGCTATTTATTGTGCATTTATATTTAGAAAAAATCTCTTTATCGTATTCCGAATTTCATTAGAATACGCAGAGAATTATTGACAAGTAATTGGCTTGTTAATCGAATATTGAAGCCTGAATTTCAG